TCGTCGTCGTCGTCGTCATGGAGCGTAAAGGACGCTTCGGAGCTGCTGCCGTCGCTCTCGTCCGTGCCCATGAGCGGAGGCACGTCGTCGCCCAGCGACAAGGCGGCTTTTCTCGGTGGCTCGACGTATTCGCGGCGCGGCCGGCGCGGCCCTTCGTCAATGATCAAGCTCGTGTCCATCCCGTCTAACTCCCGCGCCAGGTCGCGCTTGCGCTTCATGGCGGCCACGTCGTGCTTGCCAGGGTACCGCCCTTGCCAGCGCACGTTGGCCGCTACCAAGCGGTCTCGCACAATGTCTTCGGCGGCGTCGAGGCTCGGCGCCTCTCGAATCTTCTTGTAGATGGCCGGCCTACCGACGACGATGCGTTCAACATGCTATTGGCAGCGATACGTACGCGAGGACGCCGGCGGTGCGGGCAAGGAGCTTGAGCTGCTCGAGACCGTCCGAGGCCCACCCAGCATCGGCGGTGGGCTTCTTGGCGACTGCCGTCTTGCGCTTCTTGGGCGCGGGCGACGACTCATCGTCCGAAGACGCGGCCCGGCGACCCTTGGCACGCTTCTTCGTGGCGGGTTTCTTGACGGGCGTTGCACTGTCGCTGTCGTCACTCTCGCTGGCAAGGACTCGGTGTTTGCTGGGTTTCGAGGGCGGTGCGTCCGAGACGTCGCTGTCTTCGGACGGCTCTGGCTCGCCTTGGCTGCCACTGGCCTCGTCGTCCGAGTCTTGCACGACACGCTTGGCCGTCTTGGCCGCCGTCTTCTTGGCCACTGTCTTCTTGGCGACCGACTTCTTCCGCGGCGGAACGTCGTCATCTTCGTTGTCGCTGGCGGGTGGCGAGGCAGCACCCTTGCAGAGATGCAGCATGTCGGGCGCGATGCTCTTGACCATTGTCTTGACGGCCTTGCGCTCGTCGGCGTCCATCACGTCCATCTCGGTCTCGAGCACCTTCATGAGCGTGGCCACACTCACGTCCGCGTCCATGCTCGGAAGGATCCGGCGCAGCGTTGCCTTGAGCTCCTTCGAGGTCACCATTCCCCCACTCGTTCTGCACTGGCGGGAACGGCCGCTGCTGCGTATCCGGATGACACCGGTAAGATCGCAATATGGCGCCGGCGCCCCATCTTGGCCGCTTGCAGCCGACCAACCGACTGTCTTCCGTACGCTGCGCTGCATATGATCCGTCCGAGTCGCTTCGATCCTAGTATCTGCACTTGTACGCCACAGTATCGAGTCTGTCGTTGACCGCAGGAGCCGTGAAGCGAGACTAAGGCGCTAAGGCGGTGTAGGTAGAGATGCTTTTGTTAGCCACGCACGAGCCACACAGGCTCATCGTGCGCAAGGCTTGTCGGGTACTTTTGGCCAAAGCTCGGTGCTGGCGTCATCTGAGGCGCCCGCTTGGCGAATTGCGCCGTGATGCCAGTTGGTAGGTGCACGCGCTCGGTCGCCGCGGCCATTTCGTCCGGTGTCAACCCGGCCGCGGTCGTGTCGCCTGCGCCGAGCGACCGCAGCCACGCCGCCGTCCACGCCAACGACACGTCGACGACGCTGCCGCCCGCGCCGTGGAGCTGCGCGTGGAGCGCCGAGAGGACGCCAAAAGCTAGTAGATGGCCCGTCGCGTGGTCGAGGCCTTGCGTCGGCAGCGCCCGTGGCGCCGACTCGCCAAATGCTGCGGCTTCGTCAGCGTTGATGCCGGTGGCGGTCTGGAGAAGGCTGTCAAAACCGCGCTTGCCGCCCCACGGGCCGTCGGCCCCGTACGCCGAGCATCGCCCAAGCACCAAGTGCGCATTCAGGGCAAAGAGATCGTCGGCGCCAAAGCCTTTTGCAGCGAGCGCGCCGGGGCGGTACGCGTCGAGGAAGACGTCGGCCGAGGCCACAAGGTCTTGGAGGACCGAGGCATCCTTCGCCGTCGTCAAGTCGAGCTGGATCGTGCGCTTCCCGCGCGACGTGTCGCCATCAATCGACGGCAAACTCGGCAGCTGTGGCGATGTCACCCAGAGCACATCGGCCCCGTGCGACGCAAGGGTCCGCCCCGCGATCGGACCCGCGAGAACCCGCGTCAAGCAGAGCACCCGCACCCCCGAGAGGCAATTTGTCGTCCCACTATGTGACCAGACAGGGCGGTGCGTGGTTCGAGTTGCCGCGGCTTTGTGTTGTTGCACGCGCCATGGCACGTGACCATTGGCCGCGTACGTGGCATCGAGGTGCGACGCCATCGGGTGCGCCTGCCACGCGTCCGACGTCCGATACGCCGCGGCGCACAGACCGCGCTCGGACGCAAGCGCCTCGAATGGCTCTGCCTGCCACGCCGCCAACGCCATCTCGACGTTCTTGCGACCGGCGTTCAGCGGCAAGCCCAAGAGGCCCAAGAGGCCGTCGCGGTGATGGGGAAAGTTGGCGTGCAGCCGGACGTAGCCGTCGTTCGTGGCGTAGAGGCCCGAGAGCGGGTCCCACACACCGGGCGCCGGGCGCGTCACGTCGGGCTTGTACACGGCATGGGAGAGAAACTCGGCGCACGCATCCTGCGCATCGACGGTGACGCTCGAGCGGCTTGCGCCGGTGCGGAGATGGTGGATCTCGGCGGCTGCGAGCGACGCGAGACCGATCGAGATGGACGCGGCGCTCGAGAGGCGAAAAGCGCTGGCAAAGCGGGGTGGGCCCGAGAGGTACAGCCGCGATAGCGCGTCGGGCGGAAGACCCGCGGCCAGCCACAAGCGTTGCGCTTCCTTTGCGTCCATACTTGGTACCCCGAGCGATGTGAAATGCCATGCGATGACGTAGGACCCGAGAGGATCCGCTCCGAAACCGGACGGCTTCGTCGCGACACATTGGGCTTCTCTGAGAATTAGAGCGTGAGAAGCGATGAGCGCATTGCGCGGCAGCTGCGTTGCGTGACTTAGGATCTAGTATGATGTAAAAAGCCATTTGAGCAAGCCACTTCGAGAGACCCGACCTCTGGCTTGTCCTAGATGCCGGCGTCGCCGCTTGCTAGCTGTCCAGGGATGGCGAAGAAGCTATAGCGCACACCTGCAGACACGGCGGGCATGCGACACCGAGCTGCTCGTGCTGCTTGGGCAGAGGCAAACGTTGCGCGCCGAGCACCACGTTGCAGGATGCTCCGTGGAAGATCCAACGTGGCGGGTTCATTGACACGGCTAGTTGCACGCAACTTTTCCGCGTTCCACACACCCTACGTGCAAACGTACACCATGCGCGGCGGTGTTTACCATGGTATTCCCTTGTATACGCACGGTACTATCGGCCATACGTGGCGGTTGCCGGGCGGCCGTCGGCGGTGGACCGATACCGTCCATGCTTGGGCGTCGTCAAGTTGCGTGTGTCAAGCCAACGTCAATGTCTTGGTGTTTGTATTGGTTGCATTTGGTCCAATCAGCGTGAAGGAGGGTTTTCACTGGCGCTTACAATGCCGGGTGGTGATTGGGCGAGACGGGTGGTGACTAGGGCTGTGAGATTGGTGGTTGGTTGGCGGAGAGGGTTGGCGGGCTCGCATGGCAACTTGGTACCAATCGCAACTTAACATCGCAATAGTAAGATGCCTTCGTACAGCCAAGAACCGGAAGACCAGTCGCGCTCGGCCAAGAGCCGTGGCAGCCACCTCCGCGTGCACTTCAAGCACTGCCGCGAAGTGTGCCACACGATCAAGGGCCTCCCGGTCGGTAAGGCCAAGAAGTTCCTTGAAGCCGTCTTGGAGAAGAAGGCCGCTGTGCCGTTCACCAAGTTCACGGGCGGTGTCGGCCGCCACGCCCAGGGCAAGACCCTGAACGCGCCGGGCGACAAGTGCCGCTGGCCCCAGAAGGCGACCAAGATCATCCTCGACTTGGTCAAGAACGCCGAAGCCAACGCCGAGCTCAAGGGCCTCGACACGGACAAGCTCTACATTGCCCACACGCAGGCCAACGCCGCGATCAAGCAGCGCCGCCGCACGTACCGTGCCCACGGTCGCATTGGCCCGTACATGTCGAACCCTGCCCACATCGAGCTCATCTTGACGGAGAAGAAGGAGAACGTCGCCAAGGCTGAGGACGCTGCGCCTGCCAAGATCTCGCGCAAGCGCAACGCCCAGCTCCGCCTCAAGTCGGGCGGCGGCGTCGCCAACTAAATCTCAAGGCTCGGTGCTGCGGCTGAGTGTGTCGGAAGGCCGGTAACCTTCTAATAAACTTGCGATGACAAAACACGAGGCTTACTCAAATGTACCGATTTGCCCTCGTGTTCTCTTCGCGGTCTTGCGTTGCCTCGACACTCACGACCGCGAGGGACCTACGACGGCTCGTCCTCCTTCCTGTCCTGTTGTCCTCTCCATCATGGACCCGACGACGTACTAGTACGCTCCACGCTGCCTCCGAGACACGGCAACTCGTCTGCGATCCGCTAGCCCATATGCACAACATGTCATTCGTACCAGCATTACGATACTTGCTCTTGCGCAATGTCGTGGACCGTGGACGCGTCATGCGCCCGTCTACGCTGCGAGTCCTCGCCCCGTGGCCCAAGGCGCGATGTCTCGTCCGCCGCATCCGCTGCGAGTACATGTAGGTACGTCAGCGGGGCAGGCGCAGTCCCTTCTTCTTCACGCGGACCCGAAGGATGCCACCATGGCTGCCTTCGGTCTCGCAGCGTGCATACCGTACGACTAGCAACTAGCCAGGTTTATCTATACTATATGACATGGTTATTACCGAGCCTAAGAGGTTATCGCAGCGTGACGGTCTCGGACGGCGCGATGAGCTCAATGAGCGGGCGCACGGTGCACGCGTCGCAGCCCGTCTCGGTGAGCACGCGCGTGAGATCGTCGAGCCAGCGTGTAAAGTCCACCTCGGCCGTAAAGCCAAGCGTCCACGACTGCAGCGTCGCCGCGTCCTGCAGCAGCAGCGTGTACGCTGGCGACTGGTAGCGCGCGTACATAGGAATGACAGCGCTGATGTTGCGCAGCGCCATGGCCTTGGCGCCGTTATAGATGCAGTGGTTGGGCTGATCCAGCGTCACAGTGGTGCGGCGGAACGCGCGGTCCATCGAGAAGAAGCTCACAAACTCCTCCGAGAGCACGATGGGCGTTAATGTCGACGACGCATACAGTACGGACAACCAGCGCGACGATGGAAGCCATTCGTAGAGCCGTGACGCGAGCGACGTCACTTGGCTACTGGCGCCGAGGCCATGCTCGAGCACGTGGAGCTCGTCAAAGTGCAGCATCTTCTACACTGTGGCGGTCGTCGACTCGGAAGATTCGAGTTATTTAAAGCATTAGATATACACGCAGTACAACGCCCAATCACCGGGCGGGAGACAGCGACAACGGATGTTCCTCTGGCGCCAACGCTCGACGGGCGGCGAGCAGGTGGCAGCGTGTCCTGGCGTCGAGGTACTAGTGTGAGATTGCACTTTGGCTCACGTTGACATCCGGCGCTTTTTGCTACCAAGTAGTTCTTGACATGGACTAGAATCGCGCGACTCGTTCGTTCTAGTCGTTTTTACAGTTGTAGGTCTAGTCGAGTCGTAGTCGTGAAGTAGCTTGTTGGAGCTCATGTGTCGATGGCGAGCCAGAAACTACTTGGGGCCATTGAAGATCCGCCGCGCGAAGGACGTGGATTGGCTCAGAATGCTGGATATTTGACCAATCAAATCGCGTGCAATCTTGGCGTGCCCATTGTGGAGGGAACTTTTGGTTTCAGGATGAAGCAGCAATCGCTCCTGAGCTTCTTCTCGCCGCCGGCCAAGAAGCCACCGACGGGCGGCGACGCCAAGGAAGGAACACCTGCGACGTCGGCGAAGAAGGCGCCGGCGGCCAAGCCCTCGGCCGCCAAGGCCACACCGGCCAAGTCGACGCCGGCCAAGTCACCTGTGGCCAAGACGACGCCAGCCAAGACGACGCCGGCCAAGACGACGCCAGCCAAGACGACGCCGGCCAAGACGACGCCAGCCAAGACAACTCCGGCAAAGGCGGAAGCAAGCATGCCACGGGTCGAGCTCACGCCACGAGCCAAGCCGCAGAAATCGTACAAGGACGTCCTTGGCTCGAGCTCGGACGACGACGCGGACGACGACGAGCCGCTCACCAAGAAGCGCAAGCGCCTCACCAAGCCGCAGTCCAAAGCGATCGCCATCTCAGACGACGACGAGGAAGACGAGTGGAAAGAGCCCAAGGACGTGGTCATGGTCGAGAGCGACGACGGCAGCGTCAGCCTCGCCAGCGAGAGCGAAGAAGACGTCAAGCCCATCCAGAAGAAGGCAAAAACCAAGTCGCCAGTGACCAAGAAAGCGCCTCTGAAAGCGGCCAAAGCGCCGACGAAGGAGACACCGCCGGCGGGCAGCGGTGGCACGCTCCGCCAGCACGACGCGTGGCCATGGCTCCACGCCGAGCGCATGGACATGAAAAAGCGCAAGCCATCCGACCCCGAGTACGACGACCGGACTCTCTACCTCCCCGAGACGTTCTTGAGCAAGGAGACGCCGGCCATGCAGCAGTGGTGGGCGGTCAAGCGCGAGAACATGGACACGGTCCTCTTCTTCAAAGTCGGCAAGTTTTACGAGCTCTTCCATATGGACGCCGACATTGGCTTCAAGGAGCTCCAGCTCAACTACATGAAGGGCGAGAAGGCGCATTCGGGCTTCCCCGAGAAGGCCTATGCCAAGTACTCGTCGCAACTCGTGGCGCGCGGGTACCGCGTCGCGCGCGTCGAGCAGACCGAGACGCCCGAGATGCTCAAAGCCCGGGGCACCAAGTCCAAGGTCGTGCGCCGCGAGGTCTGCTCGCTCTTGTCGCCGGGCACGAACACGATCAGCTTCCTCGATGGGTCGACGCCGGTGCTCCGGACGGGCGTTGCGTCGTACCTCCTCGCGTTGAAAGAGGAAGAGACGTCGTATGGCCTTTGTCTCGTCGACTGCACCACTGGGGCGTTTGTCCTCGGGCAGTTTGATGACACGCGGCAGCGCGACCGGCTGCGTACTGTCTTGGCGCAGTTTCACATTGCCGAGATCGTCCACGAGCGCCACGGGCTCTCGAAGGAGACGAAGGCGGTGCTCAACCACGGCCTTGCCACGTCGACGTGCGTCCGCACGGAGCTCAAGGCCGGCGCCGAGATGTGGGATGCGACCCGCACGGTGCGGGAGCTCAAGTCGGCTGCGTATTTTGCGGCCGAGGCCTGGCCCAGTGTGCTCTTGGCGTGCATCGACTCGGACGGGACGGTCAAGGCTGACAAGGCGCTGGCGATTGGCGCGCTCGGCGGGTGCGTCTGGAACCTTCGCCGGAGCTTGATCGACCACGAGCTTCTCTCGCTCGGGCAGTTTGCGACGTACACGCCGCCGGATGCCTCAAGCGAGCTCACGCAGCGCTACGTGGTACTCGACGGCCATACGATCTCCAACCTCGAGCTCTTGCGCAACAACTACAACGGGACACGCCAAGGATCGGTGCTGGAGCAGCTCGACAAGACGATCACGGGCTTTGGGAAGCGGCGGTTTGAAGAATGGCTGCTCAAGCCACTCTGCCACGTCGACGAGATCCACGCGCGGCTGGACGCGGTCGCCGACCTCATTGGGCTCCACCACAGCGTCGTAAGTGAAGTGCGGAGCATCCTCAAGAGCCTTCCGGACCTCGAGCGCCTCTTGTCACGCATCCACGCTCTGGGGTCGGCACACCGCGCGCAAACGCACCCGGACGGCCGTGCTATCATGTACGAGCTTGCGTCCTACAACGTCCGCAAGATCAAGGACTTTGTCGCGGCGCTCAACGGCTTCAAATCTGCGATCCGGGTCGTCGAGTTGCTCCGGGACGCGGTCACCGCGCCTGTCCTGACCGAGTGGGTCGAGTCGTACCCGGATGTCTCGGAGGTTCTGTCCTTCTTTGATGCAGCGTTTGACCACCGCCAAGCACTGCAGTCCGGCACGATCCAGCCGCAGGCTGGCGTCGACGCCGACTATGACGACGCGGCCAACGAGGTGACGACGGTGCTCGACGAGCTCGATGTGTATCTGCAGGCGCAGCGCAAGGCGCTCAAATGCAAGTCGATCGTGTATTGGGGCACCAAGCGCGAAGACCGCTTCCAGCTCGAAGTGCCCGAGTCGGCGATCGGGTCGCAGCAACCCAAGGCGTACGAGCTCAAGAGCAAGAAGAAGGGCTTCAAGCGCTTCCATACGCCCGAGATCCGCGACTTGCTGCGGCGCCTCATGGCCGCCGAAGACCGCAAGGAAGACGCACTCAAAGACCAGACGCGCAAGATGTTTGCGACCTTTGATATGCACTACGCCAAGTGGCTTGCTGCCGTCCACGCTCTCGCAACGCTCGACTGCCTCATTAGCCTCGCGCTCATCTCGGGCCAGAGCGACGGCTACGTCCGCCCCACCTTTGTCAACGCCGCCGCCGACGGGCCCTTCCTCGAGATTGTGGACGGCAAGCACCCGAGCATTGCGGCGTCCGTGCCCGACTTTATCCCGAACGACACGACGTTGAGCGGATCGACGCCGATGCTGCTGCTCAGCGGTCCCAACATGGGTGGCAAGTCGACGCTCCTTCGGCAAAACTGCATCCTCGTGCTCATGGCGCAGATGGGCTGCTACGTCCCCGCGACGTCGTGCGCGCTGACGCCGGTCGACCGTATTTTCACGCGGCTCGGCGCGTCCGACCGCATCCTCGCAGGCCAGAGTACGCTCTTTGTCGAGCTCGCCGAGACGGCGACGATCCTCCGGCACGCATCGCGCCACTCGCTCGTCATTTTGGACGAGCTCGGTCGCGGTACCTCGACGTTTGACGGCACGGCCATCGCATATGCTGTCGTCGAGCATCTCTTGCACGGAATTGGGTACGTTTTTTTAAATGTATCAAGGTATCAAGAGGCGCGAAATAGGTGCCGGACGATGTTTGCGACGCATTACCATTCGCTCGTCGAAGAGTACATTGAGAACGACCGCGTCGGCCTCGGCCACATGGACTGCATGGTCGACCCGGACAACGACGCCAAGGTCGTCTTCCTCTACAAGCTCGCCGACGGCATTTGCCCCAAGAGTTATGGCCTCAACGTCGCAACGCTCGCCGAGCTCCCGGACGACGTCATTACACTCGCGGGCGCCAAGTCGGCCGAGTTTGAAGATGCGCTCAAAAATACGTTTGCGTGCTCGGAGCTGCAGTCAGCCGTGCGCAATGCCGCCGCGGCGAGCGACGGCGCCGCCCTGCGCGCGCTCTGGACGAATCTTGCCTAGTCGTTTTCTGTATCTACATATACATATATCGTCCTTCCAAAATTTGATTGTATTCCTACAGCGCACAGTTGGACTGGCGCCGGTTCAAACCTCAGCGTCCGACCATTTGAGTGTGCTGCCGCCAAGTCACTTCTTATTGACACTTGGCTGCCGCTCTCGCATCGGCGCTTTGGACGGCGGGGCCGCGGACCAGACATCCAGATTGCGAAGCGGACTAGCGCCGTGTGGGTGTCGACGAGTTGTGCGTCGTGTGATCTCTAATGTCAATGATATCAGACGGTATACGTTCGGTCTTACATCGTTGAAACTAGAGATAGGAGTCTTCGATCTCTATACATTGTACTTCTGTTCACTGTAGTAGCAAAAATATACATGTCAGTAGATTGCCCGTTGGTGGTAGCCACCGACGGTCGCCATCCCGCTATCTCTTGTCAAACCCCGAGATGGAAAAAGCGCCAACGGCTCTTTGACAATCGAGTTACTCGTTCTTCTCAAACATGAGCAGCCCTTCTTCGTAGAGGGCTTTGACAAGCCCGATCTGGTCGGCCGGGTCTTCGTGCGGGAGGTCGCCGACGCGGAAGAAGGCCGGGTAGCTCTCAAAGATGTACTCGATGCTCTCGGCGTCGTCGATCTCAAACTCGAGCGGCGAGAGCGGGTTCTCGTGGTGCTTGCGCGAGTTTTCCTTGCAGTGGTAGACGACCGCCTTCCCGTCCTCGATCGCCATGCGCGCAATGCCATACCGCAGCAGCTTGAAGCGCGCGTTGACGTTGATCTTTGGCCGCGGACTGCCCTCGACCGTGCAGTCTTCCTCCTCGTCTTCGAGCTACCATCCCATTGCATCAGTGACGCACCTCCGTCATCGTGTTCGTACCAAGGGCGGGAGACGGTCAACGAGAAAGTTGCGCGCCATTTGGTCGCACGCCGCGTCCGCAATGTCCATGGCTTCCGTCACAATCTACGAGGTTCTCAATCCCGTCTCAAGTATCAAGTTGATACAAACCTCGCGGAGGTTCTTCTTGAGCGCGGCAAGGAATGCAACGCGGCGAGGGTCTTCGGTCTTGTCCGAGTGAATCGCACCCATGTAGCCGAGGTAGTCGCGCGGCAGCGACTTGCGCAGCTCGACGTTTTGAGCAATCACGTTGGTCACAGCCTATGTTTCAAGTTGATACAAATCGCACCTGCAACGCAAAACCATACCTGCGGCATGAGCGTCTCGAGGAGGTTGCCGTAGCAGTTTTGCTGCCCCGTCGACACTGTCACGTGCAGCGAGTCGGCCTACGCAAAATGAAAATCCCGTTAAATAGCGTAAAATACGGGAAAATATGCAAAATACGTACGTCGTCCGGGCTCTGCGCCTGGTGGATAAAGCCGCGGGGGAAGTAGATCAAGTCGCCTTGCTCGACGAGCACGTCGACGATCGGGCTACCAATCTCGTCCTGCTTGAAGTTGCGGCTCGACGTGCGCGGGAGCGTCTCGTCGTCGCTCAATGGCGCGTAGACCTTCCACTGCTTCTTGCCTTCGACCTGCAGCAAGAAGGCTTCAATGTCGTCGTAATGCGGCGCAAACCCCTAGATACCACAAAACGATATGCCTCTTTTTCAAACGCGAATTTTGCGATGGACCTGCGTGCCCTTGGGCGTGAGGTACGTGTTGGAGCCGGCCATGCAGCCCCACTCTTCCTCGAGGATCGAGAGCATTTTCCAGACCGGGTCCGAGAACTTTTGTGGGCACAAGAGGCGCACCGAGCAGCCTTGCTCAAAGTGCTTCCAGACGGTCGCCGGGTTAGCCGCGCCATCCGGGTTGAGCGTCGTGCGCACGTCGTTCTGGTACCGCGTCAAGTCAATGTCCTCGCCGTACTCGAGCGTGTGCTCGCGCAGCATGCGGTCGATCTCGTCGCGGCTGAACCACCCGTCATAGTACGACTCAAAGTGGCGCTTGATCACGAGCGGCTTGCGCTCCCAGTAGTTGGCGTAAAAATCCTGTTGACGCAAAGGACTAGCACCTTTTCGTAGCAGTAGCATAGAGAGTTACCTCGAGCGTCACGGGGTAAATGAGCCATTGGAAAAAGAGCTTGGCCTTGGTCGAGCTGTGGAGGCCCGTGTCCATCGCGAGCTCGTGCGCGTCGGTGACGTCATCACCCTCGATGGCTACGCGGTGTATGATGAGACGGCGGTGACGCAGAGCGCGTCGATAGAGGTCGTACGGGCGTCGATCACGAGCGGGTGCTTCTCTTCGACCTTGCGGCGCTTGGACGACGACGGCGCAGACATGACCGAGTAGGATTGGTTGTGGTCGACTGAGTGCAACGATTGGGTCGTAAAAGCAATAGATAGCCAATCAAACGCGAGGTGAGGAAAATACGCCAAGGCCATTGGTGGATTATCAACAAATGGCATCGGCGCATTGCCACGCACAACGCAGATTGAGCTCTTGCATCAGAGTGCGCCGAACCCGTGAGCTTGCTTTGCTGGGCGGTGCATCATGCTCAACTACAGTAGGTAGTATGCACTGCGTAGCTCCGCGGACAGCGGCCAATCTAGCCGGCTCTCTTTTTGAGCAGTCAACTGACGCGCTTGAGCTTGGCCAGTCGTTTGGTCCTGGGCATCAGACAACGCATACATTCGCAAAGTGTTTGAGTATACAAGTTGTCATCATCGAGTAAATGTTTGTTCATTTATCTTCAATATACGATACGGTTTAAATGTACAGACACAGTGGCTGTTGCTCTCTTCTTGCGAGAGCAGTTTACGCTTCGTCGCGCTTGGGCGTCTCGATATCGACAGTCTTCTGGGCGCGGACCGACCCGTTGGAGAAGAGAAGCTCAATGTCTTCGAGGAGGAGGCCCTT